GTGTGAAGGATTCTTTAGCTTCTATTTCATTTCTAGACAATTTAGAAGTGGAGAACATAGGCATGTGTAATGTTAACACAGTGGTTTTAAATGATTCTACAAGTGATTTGGTTGTTTCCTCATATGAACCATCTCTATTTACTCCTGATTCTTCCTTGGTGGTTGCAGGAGGATTGGTGCAAATCGTTGAAGTTCCGATTAATGTTATTTCTAATGAGGATATGAAAGCTCAATTAGCAATAATTTTGAATGGATCTAGTGTGGATCATTCTGATTGGCTTGATGAGTCCCGATCATCTCTTTGTGGGGACGTGGGGGAGGAGTTGGATGCGCACGCGGAAGACTTTAATGCGATGTTTGACTTGAAAGTGAATTGCATTGTTGAGAAGGCTTTTTCCATTGGGGGATGGAAAGAGGTGTAGGAATAAATTTAATTAGAAGTAATTGATGTTGTTGTGGTGTGGTTTGTTTTCTTTTGACTGGGTGTAGATCCTCTTTAGTGGGGTGTTATGTGTTCTTCTTTTTTGGGTGCTACTCTATTTGGTCAGTTTTTTTTTTTTTTTTGCTTATGTGGTCGCTGGTGGGTTTTGGCTTTTGGTTGGATTGGTGGCAAGGCTATGAGGTCGGACTATAATGAGGCAGGTTTCCTACATGCCACCATTGATGGCCTTGCTTGTCTTGGCAACCTTAGTGGTTATCTGATTGGTATTGGGACTTATAATTGTATTTTTTGCCTCTAATGGATGGTCCAAGCTTGGCAACTGGGTGGTGATTCTGAGTCCGATGGGCTTCAATCCTCCTTTCGTTTTCTTCCATTTTTTTTATTTGTTTTTATTTTCTGATTGCTTGGAAATTTGTAGCTTACTGTAGTATTTTAAGCTTTTTGACTACGTGTCTTGGCCTTGTTGGCTTTTATTTGTACAATCTTTTTTACTAATGGAATAAAGTCTTTGCTTTAAAAAAATTATCATACTTAGCCATTTGTAGTGCTGTTGATGAAAATGTTGATGATGCTGGTGCAAGCCATTTTGAAGATGGAATTTTAAACTCTAGTGATGCGGGGCATTCAGTGGAGCCCGAAACTTTGATTTCCAATGTTCCTCTTGTTTTTCATGTTGTTATTGTTACTGTTTTAAAAAATATCGAACTTATGAATAATATGGTTGGAATTGATTCTCTTGCTCGTCTTGTTGACAACACTAGTACTCATTGTGTTTCTCCTTTAGTGGAGTTGGCATGTTCTAGTCAAGAGGCTTATGAGGATATTAATAAGGAGGTGGCTATCAATTTGGCTCTAATGCTTGGTGGTGATCATAATCTTATTGTTTCACTTGTTGTTGTTGAGAAGATCTTCTGGTTCTTGTCATGACAATTTGGATGTGGTGATGATGGAATTGTTTGATGTTAACATGATGGTGGTAAATGATTCATCTAGTGGTTTGGTTATTGCTTATGGTGTCTCACCTTTGGTTGCTTTGGAATCGGATTTGCTTCCCATTACTATGGGATCGAATGAGAATGTGTCATTTATTAATGATCTGGTCTCTCTTATTTAATTTCTAATGATGTGTTGGATTTCAAATTGATTGACACTAGTGTGGTTCTAGCTGATTAGATGGACGAGTCTTTCTACTCGGCTTATGGGGTGCTGGGGAAGACATAGATGAGCTGGTGCATGAAAATCTAAAACTGTATAGTTTGAAGGTGGGCAACACTGTTGAAAAAGCTTTCTCCAATGGTGGTGGTAAACATTGTAGGAGAAAATTTTAAAAGAAGTAATTCTTTATGGCTATAATGAGGTAGGTTTCCTACACGCCACCCTTGATGGCCTTGCTTGTCTTGGCAACATTAGTGGTTATCTGATTGGTATTGGGACTTGTAATTGTATTCTCTGCCTCCAATGGCTGGCTCCAAGCTTGGCAACTGGGAGGCGATTCTGAGTCCGATGGTCCTCAGTCCTCCTTTTGTTTTCTTCCATTTTTTTATTCATTTTTATTTTCTGATTGCTTGAAAATTTGTAGCTTATTGTGGTATTTTAAGCTTTGTGACTACGTGTCTTGGCCTTGTTGGATTTTATTTGTACAATTCCTTTTAGTAATGGAATAAAGTCTTTGCTTTAAAAAAAATTATTATACTTAGCCATTTGTAGTGTTGTTGATGAAAATGTTGATGATGCTGGTGCGAGCCATTTTGAAGATGGAATTTTAAACTCTAGTGATGTGGGGCATTCAGTGGAGCCCGAAACTTTGATTTCCAATGTTCTTCTTGTTCTTCATGTTGTTGTTGTTCCTGTTTTAAAAAATATCGGACTTATGAATAATATGGTTGGAATTGATTCTCTTGCTCCTCTTGTTGACAACATTAGTACTCATTGTGCTTCTCCTATAGTGGAGTTGGCATGTTCAGTCAAGAGGCTTATGAGGATATTAATAAGTAGGTGGCTATCAATTTGGCTCTAATGCTTGGTGGTGATCTTAAACTTATTGCTTCACCTGTTGTTGTTGAGAAGGATCTCCTAGTTCTTGTCATGACAATTTGGATGTGATGAGCATGGAATTGTTTGATGTTAACATGATGGTGGTAAATGATTCATCTAGTTGTTTGGTTATTGCTTATGGTGTCTCACCTTTGGTTGCTTTGAAACCGGCTTTGTTTCCCATTACTATGGGATCAAATGGGAATGTGTCATTTATTAATGATATGGTCTCTCTTATTTCTAATGATGCGTTGGCTTTCAAATTGATTAACACTAGTGTGGTTCTAGCTAATTAGATGGATGGGTCTTTCTCCTCGGCTTATGGGGTGTTGGGGAAGACAGATGAGCCAGTGGATGAAAATCTAAAACTGTATAGTTTGAAGGTGGGCAACATTGTTGAAAAAGCTTTCTCCAATGGTGATGGCAAACATCGTAGGAGAAAATTTTAAAAGAAGTAATTCTTTCTGTTTTTGTTATGTCTTATGTTGTTGGCTTCTTCTTGGTTGTTTTTCTTCTTGTGATTCGTGTGCTTTTCTAGTTGTGGGCTTGGCTGTTTGGATTGTTGTGTTTGGCTTTTTGGTTGCGGGTGGCTTGGGTGGAGGCTAACCGTGGGGTTTTGGTTTGTTGGTTGGGGTCTGGTGGTGTTTGAGTTTGGTTGGCATGTGTGGGTGGGGTGTTGTCTGTGTGTTGTTGGGGTTTGCGAGTAGTCAGGTTTGGGCTCTGGGTTTGTTGGTTGAGGCTTATTGGTTTGGGTTTCGGCTGGCTTTTATGGGAGGGGTGTTGTTTGTCGTCTTGTTGTTTTTTGTTGTCCCCATTTGTTTAGTTGGGGTTTGTGAGTGATACTGTGGGAGTTGGTTATCTTGCTTGGCTAGTAGGCTTTGACTTTATTTTTCCCTTTGCCTGTTTCTTTATTTTTTTTTATGCAAGTGGTTATATGCTAGTTGTTTTGACCTCTTCTTCTAGCCGAGGTTCTTCCTGCTATTTTTTTTTTAGTGTCGACATGATTCTTTTGGCTTGTTGTTGTTGGTTTTTTTTCCTTTCCTTTATTGTAACAGGTAGAACTATTAGCTTGTAGGTTTTATTTCAAATGTTGTATTTTTAGAGAGTTGTTGGTCCTTTAAAGATTTGTAATTTTCCTATTTAATTAATGCATAGGCTCAACCATTAGTTTTACCCCAAATAAAACCATACTTAGCCACAAAACATCATTTACCCTCACATGTTATTAAAACTTTTCTCTGTCAAAATTTTTTAATTTTTTATTTTTGCTATTTGACTAGAATTTTAAATAAGGAATTGATAATAGAGTTTTATATTATTTCATTCATATATATTTTACTTTTATGTTTTTTTATCAAATGATTATGATACTATAATAAATATTATATAATTCAGTATTTATTACTAATTCCTGATTAAATCTCAAACAAATTCTAATATAATTTTCAAAATCTTGTTTCCCACATCCATCCAATTCAGTTCCACACACTTTCAGATAAATTAGCAAACAGTGTTAACTAATTAAGCTAAATTATGAGCATAATCACTTTTTTTAAAGAAAAGCATAATGTTTTTTTCCTCATTAAACTTCACAATTAAAGCAATAGGTGAGATGTCAGTCTACATTTATTTCTCTTCATTAATATTTTGAATTAATTTACATTTTCTTATTATGTGTTGATAGTATTTATAGTTCCATTTATGATGATTTTGACAAATTTTGTTGCTTATAGAAAAATGAGTAAATGCTTCTCAATGAAATCATTGAAATGCCTCCAACAATTAATCAAAAGAGCTATATGAGATAAGAGCCTATTTAGATGTCTATTTATATGTATGTAACTGAAAATATAAATTTAAATAATAATAAAAATTAGTTTTATTTTTTTTAGTATGAAAATTATATTAGGGATTGTGAATTTATTTAGGGAGCTGAAATTCATATTAATTTTTAATTAAACAAAACAAAATAATAAAGTTTAGAATTTTTTTTTTCTAACTTCACACAACCAAATGAAGTGGGAATATGCTATGTTGTGAAGAAGTGATATTAAATTCCATTCAAAGGAAATATGCTATGCAGTGAAGAAGGGAATTTAGTCAAAATTTTCTATTTGGGATTTAGACTTTGTTTGGGATGGCTTTTTTATTATTCTTAAAATAACTTTCTAGTTTAAAATTTAAAATTTTTATACTAGAAGCTGCTTTAAGAAACAGTAAGAAAGCCGTTCCAAATGAAACCCTGAAGTTTTAGCTTTTTAAAACATGGAGGAAACATGAAAATGAAAGAGTAGCGTGTTTACTTCAAGTCTTGAAAGTTTCAAAATTTCTCAATGAATAGGTCAAAAGGAATCTAGAACCAAACTAGGTCATACTCGACATAACCCTGGCCAAGAGCCCTTATCGGCTTTTTGAGTGAATTTTAATGAGGAAGTAGGTGGATAATTGGCATAAGAGTGAGAGAATAAATGTAGAAGAGTTCTATGGTAATGAAAGATAAGATTTAAGGAGATTGCGTACTTACCACTCACTAAAATAACAAGTTCGAGGAATCGCCAAATTCTTTCAAGGATGAGCTTAGCCACCAACCCCCTCTTCACTCTTCATTGCAACAACACAAAACTAGCCTTTAATTCTTCATTTCAACAAGTATAAATGAGTTTATAAGTAGCAATATGAATTGCATAAAGAGAGGAAAAAGGAGAGAGGTTGGCCTCACTAATAAGTATGAGAGAGAATGCAGTAGCTATCAGAATAATTATCCCTTCCTTCTTGCTTTGGGTGGCCAACCTTGCTTGGGCCAATTACTTATCTAAATTATTATGCTCAACTAAATATTTGTACATTGATAAAAAAAAAAACTCATATTTCTTGAAAATTCGAAAATCTAAACATCAAATTTTCAAAGTTTTGAATTTTTGAAATTCAAATTTTTTAATTATAAACGCAACAACAAATTTACAGTAGCAAGTACATTATCTTCTATAATAGAAATTCTACTTAGGCTTTGTTTGGAACGAATTTCTTACCGCTACTTAAAATAGTTTTAGTACAAAAATTAAAATCTTTGCACTAAAAAGTTACTTTAAGCAGCAATAAAAAAGACGTCCCAAATGAAGCCTTAATATCTTTCATTTTGCGCCTTGTCATTTCAATTCTCTCAGTTTTTTTTTCTTGCTTTAAGCTTAAGTTGTTAGTTCACTTCTTGTACTAAATCAATATATATATATATATATTGATATTTTCACCGTATCATAAAGACTCAATTTTTTGCCCAACTTCATATTCTTTACTCCTACAATGGGAAGGAATATATCAATAATGAGCTGAAGGAATATTTTGAAGCACAATGTCTGAACCATGACATAATGAAAAAAAATTAAGGCTTTCTTTAGAACCATTTTTTTATTGCTTACTAAAATAGTTTTTTAGTAAAAAAATTTTTTGAATTAAAATCTTTGTACTAAAAAACCATCTTATAAAGCAGGAAGAAAGCTTTCCCAAACTAAGCCTAAGACACCCTATAAATAACTCAAGAACTCTTGAACTATAGCATATGCACCTCAGTATTATTTGATGGATGCAGTCCATCATAATGCTCCAGCCATGAATATTTGGGGTACTTCATATGTCAACCTCCATAAGAACCGCCAAACAAAACTTGATCCATGCTATGTTCTGTATAAGAATAGCCGTAGATGTAACCATACAATTATACAACATTCATATGCCATGATGGATGATACATTTAGGCTTCATTTGGAGCGGCTTTCTTACTGCTCTTAAAGCAGCTTAATTTTTGTACTAAAAAAACTGCTTTAAGAAGCAGTAAGTAAGCCAACTCAAACGAAGCCTTGAAGAATAAAAAAACTTCTTCCTTGAAGAAGAAGGTAAACTCTGGTCTTTAATACTAGCAGTTATGTAAAGAGCTGATGTGGGAAAGCAGGTCTAGCATTGTGGGCATGAAGATAAAACCAAAAATTGTAGCCATAGTAATTGGGATCTAGCTAAAATATACTATAGTTGTTGTAATTGGTGAGATCCAAACGGAACAGTCACTGTAGCCAAAACACCAAAATTGTTGAAAAAAGAACTAAAATTGAAAAACTTGGGAATCCCAATATGAAAATACCACATTACGATCAATCTCTTGAGAATATACATGAGATACATCACTGCTCACTCTTATCTCCCACTAATGCTACAGGTTGCTTGTCTTTGACTAAATTTCCCTATAGATACATCTAAAGAAAACCACTGTATCGATAGTCTCCAGATCATGAAGTAAAGATGTCAAAGTAACCAATAGATAGCCCACCAGGGCTAGATTCAAAGATTATCAAACCTTTGAAAACTCCTGCACACAGCATTGCCCCTAGTCATGTCTAAGCACATTGCAAGAAGCATTGAACATTGCAAGAAGCACTTTCATGTGACACCTTAGCAAATCCATCACATTGATATGTTTAAGGTTTCATTTGGGGCAACTTTCTTACTACTTCTTAAAGCAGCTGTCTAATATAAAATTTATAATTTTTTACTAAAAAAATGCTTCAGGAAGCAGTAAGAAAGCCGTCTCAAACAAAACCTAAGTTGTGACATTTTACTTGAAGGTAACATCCTAACAAATGCTTGACCACCCTAACTACAATTAGATTAGGTCTTGACACATTGTCTTGATGAAAATAATCTATGAAAATAATCTAGTAAAAAAAAAAAAGCAATTTTCAATATATGTCAACCAACATCAATGACTCAGCCTAACATGTCCATTGGTAAACAACGGTTGCTTAGCTCGAAAGATCAACCGATCAATTCGGGCCTATGAGTTAAACCTAATATTGAAGAATGCTCAAAAACCTGATCGTTATTTTACTAAATCGAGTTAAGATCAAAGGCAATGTAGAGATTGAATCGAAGAAGAATTGAGTCGGCTTGGAGTCGGTCAAACTAGCTAAAGATCGTACATGATTGAACACTTTTATATAGCTATTATTTATGATCTTATACTTGAATTAATGTATATATACATCTACACATATATGTTTATACGTGCATCAATACACGCATATATATTAGTCTAATAAGTTTTCTTAGGAGATGCAAACTTAATCAAAATTAAACTTTCTTTTGAATTAAATATAGATTGAGCTATATCTATCTCAAATTAAATATAGATTGAGCTACCCTATGGCTAAATGTTGCTCAGTCTTGAATCAGAACAAATGACTTTGAGCCAATCTTCATCGACTAGTGGACAAGTATGGTCAATTAAGAAACTAAACACAGATTCTTGTGAATGAAGGATTATGAGTGTGAGAACTAAGGCCTCGTTTGGGATGGCTTTCTTTGTGCTTCTTAAAACAACTTTTTAGTACAAAAATAAGCCTGAATTGGCATATTCTGTAGCCTTCTGAATTAGGTAACAAAATTGGAATTGCCCTTCTAAATCATATTCAGATGCCAACTGGTAGAAAGATGCACTATACTCTAAAGATAAATCAGAGGTCAAATAAAGCAGCTAAAAACATTATTTTCCAAACAAGCATACAAAGAAATAATAAGGATACACTACATTTTGACATGTTAAATCTAAGCCTCTCGTTTCAAAAGATGATCCCACGGCTATGAACAATAATCTGTGGGAAGACCCCCGGATCACATTAATTCCTTCCATAGTTAGGCTGCCGATTCAAGAAGGATTGTATTACTCATTATTCTGCAATTATTTAGAGTTATTTGTTTCTTTATTAATGCACCTTATATAGATCTATAAATAGGAGTAGATTGCTTAATAAAAACTCAAGCTTTTCTTCTCAAATCTCTTATTTCTAACATGACAAGTGGATGATAATAAGAAATAATAAGAAATTTCTGAAGATGAGATTGCATTGCATCATTTGATTGATCTTTCAGGCCAGCCAAATAAAATTTGTTATCAGTGCTAAAAACTTTTTAAGGATTGATGAGGAACACATGCAAGCATATTAAAGAGATTATTTAAACTTCTCATTATAAATAAAAAACTTATCAAAGTCCACAATGAGAAACATGGAAAAATGGGTTGCCAATCCTGTGGCTAACACCCTCTCTTGATCAAAACTATAGGAGAAAAATGTAAGTTTTAACCATAGAAGAAGACCCTCTTAATAGGCAATAAAAAAAACTGAAAATGAAATACAGTACCCAGCCATCACCAAGAAATCTGATCATGATCGATGGTCCATGGTTGCAAGGAATTCACATAAGACAACTCCTCTTTGACAAGCGATCAAGCTGTTTGCTATTTCAATTCACAGATCAATAAATGGTATTGATGGCCAGGCTAGTCTCTGATCTTTGTTCAGCTGGAAAATTCCATTCCTTCCATGAAAAGTTTTTCAGGGAAGGATGGAGAGCTTTGAGAATCACTAGAATCAGATGATTTCTTCTCCAGTTTTGGTTCCTCATCGATCAATATTGCTTGATCACGGCAGCTGCAGCTACAGAATGCTTTCTCACCTCTGAAAACCACAAATTTATAAACAAAATCAGCAATACAGGGTATAAACATATCAAGCAAAGATTCAGTCCTCTTTTTTGATTAAGCTAACCTGTACATGTAAATGTCTCTGTTATCCTCTAATGTCTTATTGCAGAAGCAGCAGAAGCTCAGAAAATCAGTGGAGGGCAAAGGAGGCGAATTCTCAGAGCTTTTGATAATCCAATGAGATCCTCCTTCCCTTTCTTTAGAATTCTGAGACTCGATCAGGGAGCTCTCCAGGATGCAATCTCCAAAAATATGAGTGGTCTTTGGATTCGGGCCATGGGATATGATGCAAGTGTAATCCTCACTCGTAGAAAGGGAATCCATAAAGCCATGAATTAATTCAACGGATGAAACATCAAAATTAGGTTTTAGGGTTATATGCTCAGGATCAGATGAGTAAGAATTGATCTTTCCAATCTCCTCAAGTTCCGATTTTGATGTACTAAATTGAGAAAAGGTGATATCTTTGTCTTCTGTTTGTTCATCCCCGAAGGAATCAAAATGATTTTTAGAGTTTGAGGTTTTGATTAACCTCATCTGTGATCCCAGGAGAATGTTCTTGTTCTCATCCCTCAGAGAATCCACCAAGCCGAGGCCAACTCTACTGCAATCCCAGCTTCTTCCAGGTGACTTAGGAGAACGAATCAAAGAGTTTGCTATGTTGGAGAAGAGCTTGTAATCCAAAGGAGAAGTAGGGCTCTTCATTGGATCAGATTCAGCTAAGCTTTTGCCTGTGAAACTCACAAGCAGACCAGGGATACTGAAGAAGGAAGAACTCTTTGCCTTCTGCTTTATTGAAGCATCATAGGAGAAGCAAGAATTTGAGCTAAAATCTCCCAAGAACTGTATCTTGCTTTCCTCCTGCACAGTTCTGCTCCTCTTTCTCAGCATTTTCTTCTTCCCTATAAAAAAAATCAGAACTTGATGATATCAGAAAGATCATGTCATTCGGAAAAGGAAAAAAGAAAAGAAAAGAAAAAAAAAAAAACAGATTCATTTATAAAGTTTAATCGATTCATTGATGTTATAACTTAAAAGCCAGCACTCACTCACAAAAAGGCCGAAAAAAGAAAAGATGGATTGGAAAAAGAACAGATTTTGTAGATGTCAAACTGAAAAGAAGGAGAGACTGAACCTGTTTTCCTCACTGAAACACAAGAAAGAAATAATCCAAAATCTACAGAAAAGCAGAAATCACAGGTGTCTTCCCGGTTCATCCAAGGATGGAGAAGGTTAGTTCATGGAAGAATGCCAGTGATAAAAAGGAGGGATTTTGGGCATCAGATATACCACAGAATAGCAAAGTGAACCCACATGAGAAAAGGAAAGACTAACCTTCCTTTTTTTTTTTGTCCTTCTTATTTGTTCATCTTTACCTTCTTCTTTGGCCCCTATGCCGAGAGCCAAGCAAAAGTAAAAATAGGTAGACAAACGTATGAATCTTATTCAGTACTAATCTCTCTCACTTTCTTTATATTTATTTTCTCTACTTTGGCTGCATGCATCAAAATCAGAGCAACAGTGTGACTTCTGAAATACTCCTGTTATGAAGGACAAAATACATATGGAAAAGTAGACCAACTCTTAATCCATTTAATCATAATGTAATATTTAAATTAAAAATTTTACGAATATGAATTCAAGATCATACAAATTGCAATTTTAGCAAAATTTATAGCCAAAACTTTTAAATGAGGCGATGTCAAAAGTGTTTCTATCTGACTTCAAACAAACACAAACCAAGTACTTGTGCTTAGTTGAAAATTTTATTAAATTAATTGAAGGATCAAACAATCTCAAAATCTCGCATGCTTACAATCAAAATAAACATCTCGCTGAGATAATATTCAGAAAGACACTTAAAATTTGAAATCAAAAAGCCCAAGTTTACTCAATTTTGATTGAGACGCTTAAATGTTGAAAGAATATCTATGATTGAAGAAATGAAAATGAGATATCAAATAAAATGTTTTAGAAATTTTAACTCAAATTATAAAAAAACATTGTTACTTCAAAAAAATTATTTTAAACATATTCCCGGTCTTCACATGAAAGGGATCAAGTCTTCGAGTTAAATTTGATGAGATCTTGGAAATTTAAAGAATTTCAGAGCCTTATTCACAATCAACGCCAACGACCACAATCAACACCAACGACCACCATCAACACCAACGACCACCATCAACAATCGACCACCATCTTCTATTGACTATTGTTGCTCGACTGTTGCACAATATTCGTTAATCATTGTCATCCAACTAGTAATGTTCAATTGTCATCACCCTCCAATATATGTCGTAGCTATAGTCACTTCAATCTCAGGTTCTAACTTTTTTAATCCCAACTTCTCTAATTGAAAGGAAGAATCAACTTCTCATTAAGGCTTTATTTGAAACAATTTTTTTACTGCTTCTTAAAGCTGCTTTATAGTACAAAATTTTTAATTTTTGTACTAAAAAATTACTTTAAAAAACAGTAAAAAACGGTCCCAAATGAAGTCTAAATCAAAATCTTATTCATAAATCCAAATTGCTCCAAATGAGTTTTTCCCCCAAAAATTCATATTCATAAATCAAAATTGATCAAATGAATTTTTATTAAGTAATTGACAATTTTGCAATCGACCACCATTTTTTTTTGTCTCGCTTCAAGCTCTACTAGGGTTTTGCCTCTCGCGCGCAGCTGGGTTCCTCTCGCCTCCATTCCCCTCCTGTTGGGAGGGGATCCGCCTTTCCTCCCTTCCGCCCTATGGCTCTCAACTAAAATGATTTTCCTCTTCTTTTTAATACATCCCTGCTTGGCCCTGCTCCTTCTTCGACCCCCTCTTATGCCGATACCACAATCGAATCTATTGCGGAAACCCCTATCTTCCCCATGATGTTCGTTCCCCCGAGCACTAAACTTTCTTTCTCTGCTAATGATTTGTCTGAGGAAACTTCAATATGGCATCTTTCTCTGGTTGGGTACTCGTTTGGCCAACGTTCGTATTACGAACGGCTTCTTGCAGCCATGAAAAAGGTTTGGCAACTCAAAGGTTTGCTTACTCTTCTATCCCTCATGAATGGTTTTTTCTCGCTCAAATTTACTTCTATGGAAGATTATGAAATGGTTTAGGCAGGTGGCCCATGGTTCTTACTTGGGAAATCATTCATCCTTCAAAAATGGTCTCCAAGTTCAACCGAAAACGTGATGAATTGGCCTCTATTCCTTTATGGATCAAAATAATGGATCTTCTGTTGGCTCTTTGGACCCCCTCGGGCATTTCCAAAATTGTGAGTTACATTGGTATACCGTTAGCTGTTGATTCCCTCACAGCTAAGAGAACCCGTCTGTCTTTTACTCGTGTTTGTGTACAAATATTCCAAAATTCCTCGCTGCCGGAGGACATTCCCCTGGTAATAGATGGCGAAGAACTTACTTCTAAGGTAGTTTATGATTGGAAGCCTTCTCCGTGTGAAGGTGTTGGCTCGCTTATCCATCCCTTTTCCCTATATCCGGATAATCTGAATCTCAAGCCCTCTGTTCCTCCTCTAAAAAATAGAGGTCATAGTACCAGCCCCTGGACCGAAAAGAAATGGAGAGTCCTCCAAACCCCCTATTCCTTCTAAACCTTCAACACTGTTAGCTGCTCCTCATAATCATAACATTCAACAACCCACTCCTCCTCCCGATCCCTCTTCCACCCCGGATAATTGCCTTCCTTTGAAACCTAACACATCTCCACCTAGGGATAATGACTCTATCATTCCTAACTTGAACATTCCCGCATTCCCAGTTGATCCCTCTTTTTCCTCACATTCTTCTCTACAAGGCCTCACAATACCCCCCCCCCCCTTCTCCTCTCATTCCCATGAACAATGAATTTGTCTCTCTTACATATTCAGAGCCCTTTCTATAGGACCCACGGGATGATCTTCCTAAGAAAAGTGAGCAGATATCTACCAATTCCACTTCTAAATCCTCCCTTCCAAAAAATTCAGCAACTAAAGCCAAAACGACAAAAAAGGCCAAATCCTCTTATCCTAAACATTAATGTATCTGTCCCAATTTTCTTGCTAGAATGTTAGGGGGTATAATTGCCATATCAAAGTCAGAGCTTGTAAATATTTGGTTAGATCTTACAAGCTTAAGTTTTTATGCATTTTGGAAGAAAAGATTCATAATTCTGCTGTTTTGGACCCTTTGTTTCTCAATTCGCACTGTATTTTTTAGAATGAAGGATCTTGTGAGAATTTTGTGCACTCTGATCCATACAGGATTTGGCTTAAGTGGGATGCCTCTCACTTGACATTTACACCCTCTTTCTCTTCCCCCCAAATCATTCATGGTTCTTTACACTAAGATTCTTCCCTTTCTATTCAATCTCGATTACGTATGTTGCGAACTCTGTTGAAGATAGAAGAATGTTGTTGGACACTCTAACTGATATTAACCTGATTCCTCTCAACTGTGGATCATCATTGGGGATTTTAACTACTGCAGATTTTCTTCTGAAAAAGTCGGTGGCTCCCCTCTTCTGGCTGACAGACTTGAGGAGCTTAATAATATGATTTATGATTGTGGTCTAGTCGATCTAAGTTCTGTTGGGTTGTTCTACACTTGGTTTAATCAACGGGTTGATCAACCAATCTATATTAAACTTGTTAGGGTTTTGGTAAGTTTTGCATTTTTTTAGGCTTTCCCCCAGGCCTGCTATAATGTCCTGCCTCCCCTTTGCTCGGATCGCTCCCCTCTCCTCTTGATTGCAGAGCCTTTCACTTCTAATACTTGCAGATTCCTTTTTAAGAATTTTTGGGTCAATTTTGATAGCTTATGGGAAGATGTTATTACTGCATTCTCTTTCTCGGCTTCAGCTAGCCCAATATCTACTTTGTATGCCTATTTACATAAACTGAAAGATGCTCTTAAGAAGAAGGCTTGGGCTTCTGCTACCTTTATTAATAGCTCCATTAGAGATTTCAAATCCCAGCTAGTTGCTTGTATTTTTAATCTTCAAGGTAATCCCCTAGATCACCACCTTAATGCTTCTTATAAGTAGATTTTGGGTAATTTAGATGTACTAGAAGCTGCCTGGGCTTCTTGAATTTCTCAGCGAGCCAAAGCTAAGTGGGTGACTAATGGGGAGAATGATCTTAGATTCCTCTATGATAAAATCAGGGCAAGACATAATCATAATATTTTGAAAGAAATCAATACTCCATTGGGCCAATTTACTGCTCAAACTGAGATTACGGGTGCTCTTATTAGAATTTTAACAACCTTTTCAATGCTCCTAAACCCATTAATGCAAATTTCTATTGTATTCCGTATGGGGTCCTTGTCCATGAGCATTGTGCTAGGGAGCTAATTACACCTTTCTCTTATGAGGAAATTAAAGTGGTGGTTTTTTCGGGGGCATCCAATTTGGCCCCTGGGATACATGGTTTCACGTTTGAATTTTATAAAAAGACTTGATACATAATGGGGCCTTAGGTTTGTGCAGCCATTCATAGTTTTTTCTCATATAGAGCTCTTCCTAGATGCGTAAAAGCTGTTGTTCTTACTCTTATTCCCAAAAGCTCCCATGCCTCCAACATTTTTTATTTCTGGACAATCTCACTTTGTAATGTCTTCTATAAGATTGTTGATAAACTGCTTGCTAACAGAATTAAAAAAGTTCTCCCCATTATTATACATGAGAGTCAGGTAGATTTTATTCATAAAAGATGTTCCACTTATAATATTTTGCTTGATGCTGAAGTTCTTTGTGAATTCAAAACATCTGTCAATCTTTTTTGTGCTAAGTTGGATGTTAAGAAAGCCTTCGACACTGTTTCTCGCGAGTTTCTCCTTAATGGTAGGAGGCAAAAAGACTATCCCGAAAATTTTATTTAGTGCATTAAAGGGTGTATTTCTGAGGTTTTTTTTCTATTTGCCTCAATGGTTCTCTTGAAGGTTGTTTCAAGTCCTCCTCTGGCCTTCGACAAGGATGCCCTCTCTCTCCTATGTTATTTAGTATTATGATGGATGGTCTCTCTTGCTTACTTTACTCCCCTAAAATTGAAATCAATTTTGAAGGTTTAAACTTGAATGGGATAAGCTTTAATCATCTTATGTATGTGGATGACCTTCTAGTTTTTGGCTCTGCCTCCCCTACAAATACATCCAATTTGGTGCACATTTTGGATTATTTTTCGGCTGCATCTGGCTTACACATTAATCAGGAAAAAAATCTCTATCATTCTTTCTAACAACATTACTTCAGATGAGGAGATTTGTGACATTCTTGGGATCTCTAATGTGGGATCCTCCCTCATTTATTTGGGCCTCCCTATTTCTTCCAGTAG